GCGTGTGCAGATAGAGAGTGACAGGTGAGAAGGCGTGTGCAGATAGAGAGTGACAGGTGAGAAGGCGTGTGCAGATAGAGAGTGACAGGTGAGAAGGCGTGTGCAGATAGAGAGTGACAGGTGAGAAGGTATAGACTAGTAGGCAGGTGTGCAGGCAGTAAGTCACAGGTGGATAGGCGTGTGCAGATAGAGAGTGACAGGTAAGCACGCAGGCGTGTGAGATGTCTTGTTTCATGTAAGAGCGGCCAAATTAAATGATAAGCTATTTAATTTATTTTTACTATTACAACACCTCATAACACCTTCACGTAATTACTCGTTAACGATCATTAATCGTTAATTATCGGTTTGTAACGCTCATCACGCGTGCAGCGCACCTAAACGGTGTTTTGTTGTAACGAGCGTGTTGATTCGCTCGTTTCAGCACATAGCGGCTCACGGCGGACCAATCACGGCAGTCTCGTTTTCGCCGGATGGGAAATACGTCTGCTCTTATTCGCTGGAGGAATCCAAGCTCTGCTTCTGGCAGGTATGGTGGCAGTAGTGCTGATGATGATGACGATGACGATGACGATGACGATGATGATGATGATGATGATGATGCCAATGATACTGGTGACGTAAGTGATGGCAGTGATAGCCATGATGATGACGACGATGATGATGATGATGATGGTGATGATGATGATGATGATGATGATGATGATGATGATGATGATGATGATGATGATGATGATGATGATGATGATGACGATGATGATGATGATGAGGATGATGACGATGACAGTGATGATGGTGAACATATTCACTGATATGCGATTCACTGATGATGACGCAAACAATGCGACAGCGATAATATAAGCTTCATTTTTTTTGGAGAGGCATTTCATTTCGCTTTGATCCAATTTCCCCTGCGAAACGCTGCTTCTGGGCCGAACGAACCCCAGATAACGGCGGGAACCGAAAATCTCCACTCCAAAACACAGGGACACCAAATATCATCAGGAGTGTAAAAATTCCATTATCTCTATTATTCTCATATTATCTATAATATTATGACACTCCTGATAGGTTGATATTATCGCATCGTGGACCACGCGTTCGGTTCCCCACGTTGACCCCGAATGTTATCACGTATCACACGCTCTGTTCCCACACAGTTTGTATGTTCTTGTGTTTCCAGGCGGCGACGTCGCTGTTCGGCATGGGCAGCTCTCAGGTGAAGTGCGTGCGCTCGTACAACACCGTGCCCATCTCCCCGCACGTGTCCACCAACCCGCTGCGTCTCGTCAAGCTCGTCTGGGTCAGCAGCAAGACCGTCATTGTGCTGGTGGCCGACGGCACCGAGTACAAGTACAACATCTAGCCGCGAGGGGAGGGAGCAGCGGAATCGAGTATTAATACAACATCTAGCCGCGAGGGGAGGGAGCAGCGGAATTGAGTACAAATACAACATCTAGCGGCGAGGGGAGGGAGCAGCGGAATCGAGTACAAGTACAACATCTAGCAGTCGACATCGTCATACACAGCTGCTCTCTTGTTTCTGCTCTCATATGCTGCTCTCTTGTTTTGTGCGTGCAGAGCTGTTGATCGACAAGCTGCAGATGGACGTGATCGACCTTCTCATCGAAGTCGTTGATATCATCATTCACTGCCTCGATATCTCGCAAGTCCGAGCAAAGGGCCTCGGCGAGGTGTTCCCGTCAATCACCAGGTAACCGTGACAACGGCGTGCTCCTCCGAGCGTCTGCGGCGGCGGCGGGCGAGATTTTGTACTGATGGCGGACTGGAGCATGCGAGAGCTGTGTGTCGGTTTATGAAGAGAGACTGGTTTGGTTTTTGCGAGGAGGTTTCGGTTTTTTTTAAGGAAAATAAGTTTTGCTTTGTATCTTCTGTGTATTTATGCTAAGCTTATCTTGCTTGCTTGTCTTTTATATGTAATGCTGCTGCCTGAATTGTATTTTCATTGTTATTTTACGAATTGAAGATGCCTTGTATTGGAAAAGAGACACAAAACACACGTACAGACATTTTGTGAATAAATGAAAAATTTTATGTGTAGATGAAATTAACCGATATGCAGGGTTTCTTATACATAAGAGGCACAGTGGCGCACTGCCATTGTCAAATTTAACATCGCTGTTGTGAAAATGTTGCTGTATTTACCCGCCGTTGTCAAAATAGTGTCAACCCAAAAATAAATAGATCACCACGTGCTTCTGGCATATTTAGATTGTCATGTGCGTTTATTGGGTCATGTGACATGGGGTCTTTTGGTCATGTGATGCGTTGTTTTCTCCCAAACTAGCCATTCCCTCTTTTGTATAATTTTCCCTGAGAAGAAACCCTGGATATGGAATTGTGGATTTGTGTTGTTTGTAGATTCAGCATGATCAGCTACTGCACTCACACGAAGCGACTAGCGGCAGGAGCGAAGAACGGAATGCTAGCACTGTACGAGCTCAGAGCTACCAAGTCACAGGTGAGTAGGTGTGTGCAGATAGAGAGTGACAGGTGAGTAGGTGTGTGCAGATAGAGAGTGACAGGTGAGTAGGTGTGTGCAGATAGAGAGTGACAGGTGAGTAGGCATGTGCAGATAGAGAGTGACAGGTGAGTACGCATGTGCAGATAGAGAGTGACAGGTGAGTAGGTGTGTGCAGATAGAGAGTGACAGGTGAGTAGGCATGTGCAGATAGAGA